ACTAATCAACTCCTCGATGACACAAGGTACTACTGTTAATGCCTATGTAAACTGATGCTATATGAAAAAAAAAATTTATATCCACTATTAAAAGGCAACATGAAATCAAAATGGACCTTCACCAAAATAAAGTTTAATTATGTCATCAGTTGGATCATGTTGTTCCAAATCCACAAGAGTTTCGTTCATCTTTGGAACACAAATGAAGATATTTTTAATGATATCTGAGAGCTTTCGGTCCCTCCATTGAACATTTATTCACCCAAAACTTAATTGAATTTAGTTTAGCTTTTGCTTTTATCCACATATAAACATTGATCAGCGAACAATATTTACTGCATTTCATTTTGGTAAACGTGCTTGCTTGATGCATGGGAACCAATGAGGTTCATTCTTGCGTGTTACGCAGGTTTGTTCTCACGCGGTTTAGCAATTAGGTTGAAATACAAAGTTCTTTCATGAAACTCTAGATGGCGCAGGCTAATAGGTCCTTAACTCAACCTGCTTGCAATCACATCATTCTCTTTTGGTTCCTGCTGTATCAGTAGCCAATGAGCTCGCTGCTCAACCTTCAAATACTTGGTCAGCATTTGCTGTAGCAGCAGCACACATTCAGAAACCCTCCACCTTCCCCAGCTCCACCTGTATAGATCTGCTACGGGTAATTCATGTGTGCTATATTGTACAGCAGCAGAAGCATGTTTTTCTTGCTCACAGCAGTGTATCATGTATGTATTGGCAGTAGTAAGTCCCGTACCTGCTCTGCAGCAGCAGCAACAATAACCAGCAGCAGCAGCAGCAGATGTATTCTGCCAAGACCAAATACATCAACATTGTCATATCCAGACCATTACCATGCCAAACACTCCAAAAGTTGTCATGACAGAGCTTCTGTTTCTGTTCGCTGATCAATGTTTATATGTAGATAAAAGCCTATATTAAATCTGTTCATCATATAAAACGATCTTGTCTCTTCAGTAGACCTGGATTAAACAGCTCAATTCATATGAATTTATTTTACAATCTCTTTATGGATATTTTGAATTTTCATAGTTTTAGTTAAATAGACTTTCAATGGAGGTACAGAGGTCTCTTAGATTTCATAAAAATATCTTAATTTGTGTTCCAAAGATGAAAGGTTTTGGAGCACAGAAGGTTTGGAACGACATGAGGGTGAGTAAATGATGACAGAATTTTCCTTTTTTATGTCAATAATCCTTTTAATAAGGGTCCTACTGTGCATGATTCATCAGAAAACAAATATTAATCAATAATATATAATTGAATCCCAATAGATCAAATTGCTGTCTAGACAATAATAAATAATACAGCATTCCACTTACTGGTATTCCAATACTTCTCACCAATGAATTTCCGTGGCTTTCATACTTTCCCCCCCAGTGATAATACTGTATAAAAATAATATTTTTTATATGATTTAAGGTCTTCTGACAGGTAGAATTTAGTTTAATGTACCCTCATGAAGCCAAAAATAGATTTAAAGGTAATATGAAACTGTAATATGGCATAAATTATTTCAGCAGAAAAAAAAGAATTCCAGACATAAAGAAAATGATTACATTTTAAAGGAAAATTAATTAACAGAGCTTTCTGGAAATAAAACAATTCAGTCTACATCAAATAAACAACAGCAACATTCCTCGCAAAGGACGCTTTGTCAAGTCAGTCCTTGAATAACGAATAACACCGCGGTGTTCTAGGTGTTGTGTGTGGCCTGCTGGTGGCAGATGCCAGGGCAACTCCCCTGACTCCTCACCCTACTTACTCACATCAAACCGGGCAACTGGTGGCAGAAACCTGATCAGAGGGGGTAAAATCAGAGGGCACCTTTCACAAGAACTGGGCAGGTTGCCCAACGGTCCACAGGAGGGGGCAAAGAATAGGGTCTGGTTGGAATGGTGTGTGTCTGTGATGTGTGTGTGTGAAGGCGTCTTGGCACTAGCTTTCCGGAGCCGGCACGGGAAACAGAAGGTCGAGTCCCACAATAGTCTCCCAGGGGGCATCCACAATACCAGCTCAATGACCGCAGTCAACAATACTCTCAAGGCCTTTTATTCAGAGAGTTCAATGGACCAGACACACCCAGCGGCACTTTCCTACACAAAACAAGACCCTGGCAGGCTGGCACACACACGCATACATATTCATACACCTTTATATAAATGACAATATTGCTACTATAAAAGAGGCTTTCAGTCTAGAATCACTGCCATGGTTGTTGCCATTTCACAGTGTTGAGGACGCTACTTTAAAACTTAGAAGTTGCCCTTAAAAGTTTATTAAAAGTTCAAATTAGTAAATTTTGAGTAGTTCATTCGGATACAAATAAATACATCTTTTTTAAAAGTATTTATATAATATTATTATGTTATTTTGTAAAAGGATACACAATATAATCAATATTAAACAACAATACAATACAGATTCATCTACTGTTCATGAATCTCTGGGGTTTTTTTTTACTTTAAACTGATTCATTTAAAATGAATCATGTAGGTGAATCAGTTTAAATGAGTGATCACATCGATTTATTTAAATTATTTTCCGATTGAACTGATTCACTAAAAATAATTTGACTGATTCATTTTAGGCAAGTGTATTTGTTTTGAAGGTAGCTGAGCTACTGTTATGCTACTTAAAAGTTAATAGCATCACATTTAATTGGTTGCTCCCCAACACTGCTCCCGGTTAACATGATTTGCCATAATGTACAGTTAATTCACTTCATCTTAGCTTTAAGATGAGACAAGAAGAACTGGTATTGATCATTTGAGAAGGTGAAAATTTAAGTGAATAGTCATTAAGCAAAGAATGAATGTAGCACAGGCCTCTGCAGCAAAAACTATTTGCTCCTTCCATTTCTCTTGCGCTGTGCTTTCGCTCCGAAAATGTTTATTTGTCTAAAAAGATCTACAAACAATCACTTCACTCGACAGGAGAGAGAGAGCTTTCCAGTCAGGAGGAGATTTAATTAGGGAAATCTCATTAGGTTTAACAAAATTAAGCGTAAAACAATCCTCGGCAGGGCTCCGAGAGCGAGAGGGAGAGAAAGAAAGGGGGAATTTGGGGTTTTGAGCGATTAGAGTCAGGAGGATATTGAGATAGTCACTTCCATGCTGCTGTGGGGGAAAATGGCACTAGATACCCAGCTGTTTTCACACTCAATTAAAGAGACTTGCCTGGCGTTTACCCCCTCTGAAAAGCAAAGAGTTAACCATTCTGCATATTGCCGCACACACAAATGTCTCCCTCAGATTCTCCCTCTCTCACTCATCCACAACGTAATTCCACCCTGAGCCCACGAACCATTAAAGACACAAATTGTGTTTTCGAACAAATTCGCACTCTATAAGGACATAACAGAAAGTGCTATTAAAGTGAGGAAACAAACTCTTAAACAACACAGCTGGGGTGATTGCAGACGAACAGCAAGCATTGGAAAATTCATTTCAAACTTTATCTGTAAAGGCCCAATTCTGAATGAACCAGCAAGGAATAACTCTACGACTCCTGAAGAGCGATATCACTGCAGAGAAATCACAGGTTTGAGTATTCTAGGCAGCTCGATAGGCGACACTGCATATTTATCAGCCCTCCTCAATAAAGTGAGAGAACTTTATGTGCTATCAATGCTTTAAAAAAATCCATCGCAAAAGTATAATTATAGAAGACCATTTTATGCATGACTAGAAAAGCTGTTAGGTGAATTTGTGGAAAACTCAGTTCACATCAAAGTACAAGAAAAGTGTTTGGCAACCAAAATGGCTCTGTTCCAACACCTAGTGAGCTGTCTAGCTGCTAGCAACCTAAACCAAAGCTGAACCTCATAAATGACAGATTAAGAATGAGCAACATCAGCAGCAATTCTTTGCAAACCAAATGCTATTGCACAAAATATCATTCTTCATGTTAAGCGTATGGTTCGCAATTGATTTCGATGGAGTTCGTCATTAGCATGTTGTTTAGCTAACAATGTGATATTCTAAAAAGCAGAAAAACAGCACATACTAAAATTGTGTAAAATATCAATTTTTTTATTAAGATTTAAGTAATTCGCACTTTTCAGTATTAAATGAACAATTTGTGTATGTAATATAAACATACAATTTAGCAAAAAAACATGGTATTTTAGACATTGATGCGTGCCACTCAGAATTGAAAAGGATGGATTTAAATTTAATTTTAAATGTAGGTGCCAAATTAGTGCAGATTTGCAATTCAAGGAAGAACAATTAAAACTGACAGACAGACAGTTAGACAGATAGTCAGACAGACAGACAGGCAGACAGATAGAAAGACAGATTGATAGAACGATAGAAGACAAAAATAATAGAATTAATTGAACAAACAATAAACAATAGAACGAACAACAGAATGAAAGAGACAGATAGATAGATAGATAGATAGATAGATAGATAGATAGATAGATAGATAGATAGATAGATAGATAGATAGATAGATAGATAGATAGATAGAAGGTACAAACAACTGAACAAATTGTAAACTAAACGATAGAACGAACAACACAATGAAAGATGGATGGACTGACAGAGACAGACAGACAGGCAGGCAGAAAGACAGTCAGACAGACAGGCAGGCAGATAGACAGTCAGACAGACAGACAGACAGGCAGGCAGACAGGCAGGCAGACAGACAGACAGACAGGCAGGCATATAGACAGTCAGACCAACAGTCAGACAGACAGACAGTCAGACAGACAGACAGGTAGGCAGATAGATAGACAGACAGACAGACAGGCAGACAGTCAGGCAGATAGACAGTCAGACAGGCAGGCAGGCAGGCAGACAGACAGTCAGACAGGCAGGCAGATAGACAGACCTAAATTTCTGAACAGCTTTTGTGTCAGGGGTACGTCTATGACGCCTTAAAATACTGCCTAAACAGGCAGCTCACTAGCTTTTGTAACAGAGCAAATGTGTTTTTGAATGAGCATGGAAAGTGTTGATTTAGGAACTTACAGTTTGCTTGTTCTCAGCATTGGAGCATCTGATGTTGGAGTCGGTCCAACGGCGCACTGCCCTCCAGACAGTCTACAACACAAGAGAAACCGTCTGAGTACTTTTACATCTAATGGTCTGTTCACCAACAGCTAACCTGAGATCATTACTCCGAAGGCATTACAACACAACTTGTAAAATGACCAAATATGTTGATTTAGGTTTAGCCAGCACTACATGCGTTTTAGAATGGGGATCTTTTTATTGACGCTGCTTGATACCCGTGGGCCTGCTGACCCCACAATTCGAAAAGTAATTTGATATTGCGTGGGAAGGTATATGTATGTGTGGGCCCTGCTGTCCTGGCTTAATAGAGGCTGTATGTGTGTGTGCGTGAGCTCGGGTAGGTGGGCAAACAAAGATAAAGTCAGGGGCGGGAATGGCAGGCATGGCGGCCAGCCCCCCACGCTTCAGTCCTCCGCCAGTATAGGTTTATGTGAAACCTTTCCCGAGTTTCTTCCAAACTACAAAGAAAACATTTTAGGGTTCTTCTAATCCCTCCCGCAGCCTCTCAAAGCCCCAAAGTCGTCCATAGCCATACAGTCCGCAGCCCACTTCCCTCTCCCCCTCATGAGACCTGATCTGCCTTCCTGTTGACGTCAAAGTGAATTAGAGCAAGGAGAGCGCAGCGGCTCCCCCCGGGGGGCTGGAGGGCTAATCATGCTGTTCCTCACTGGCCTCAGAGGAAGCATTAGCGTTCCTGTTGCAGCAGACCACCACATCTACAGCTCACGGCCCCATCACAAACAACCAGGACACCAAACACACACACACACAAACAAACAGCTTATTTACAGAAATAAACACTAATAAGTCCCTCATACACACCACAGTACCCTCCAAACCAGACGAACAGAAGATTTGTGGGTTTGCCCTTCCCACCCCTCATTCAAAACCCCAGAGAAAGTTGAACTTTAGGGTAAACCTTCTTCTCTAATACACAGAGCACCTCTGTGAAATACCTAATCCCAGCCTCCCTCAGTCGCCACACCGACCTCCTGCACTCCCTCCAGCCGCTCTGATTAATGATTCCACATATAGAGAAGGAGACGGTTGAGGACTTTCAGACTGTGTGACTGACCCGATTCCAACTGAGATGAATGCAGCTGGGCTACTCTCTAAAGTTTGATACTGTGTTATTTTAGTATTATTTATACACTACTTTAGTATTTATTAACATTTTGAATTAGATTTTATTATTATATTTTCAGTTTTCATTTTAATTTTCATTTTGTTGTTATGTGCTTTTGTCATTTTTGTTTATTTTGATATGTCTATATAGCTTTAAATAAATCTTATTTTAGTTTTAGTAATTTTAGTACTTCAACTTAAGGGCTGGTCACACCAATGACAATAACTATAAAGTTTTAACAATCTTTCTAATTCTATGAGAATAGAGAACAGCTATAACAATAACAAAACAAAGGAATCACTTTCAGGATGATTTTTTTTGTTGACAGCCAATCAGAATCCACCCATCTTTAACGAGCTTGAGCTTTCAAAGCGGTGAGTTTTCTTCGCAGTGTGATGGAAAAGAGATTAGAACACCTCTGCATAAAAGAAAAAAGTCTGTCGCACTGACGGCATGTGAATGTTCATGTCAGTCTGAGCAGATGCATTAACAGACGTTCATTCAAATTAAAGTGTTTATCGCACCGAACATTCGTCTTTGTGTGAACAGGCCTTTAGCGGATTAACACAATAAAACATAGTATATATCATTATATTATATTAGATGTTTTTACCAGTGCCTGATTTCTTTATGGACGTCTCTTAAAAAGCAAGAAAGGAATTGAATACAAATGTCAATTCTAATAGATAGCTTTCTCCAGTATTATATAGCCCTCTTTTGGTCCCTTTGTCTCTTCAATCTTGACTGTCTTATAAAAATAACTATTAGATCGACACATTTAAAATACTGTCAATGACGCAAACTCAAAACTCCTGATTTTGACAATGCAAGAAATGTTGTCCTAAAAAATGCAAGGTGGTAATGACCCACAATGCCTTGCCAGTAACAGCCCCGCCAGCTGTTCAAAGACCACGAGAACAACATTTGCTGCCGGGGGTTTAGAACTTCCTGTTACTATGACAACCCCGGAACAATTCATATTCTGTGTCTCTCCTCTAATAAAGTGTGTAACATTAGGGCGTAATTGTATTTCTATGCAATATATGAAAATAGCCCTTTGCATTCAGGAACGCCTGATAGCAGTCGTCAAAAACGTCTGGAAGAATGACAGACTTCTTGTTTGTATCGGAAGATTGCTTCATGAGATTTGGTATCACAAAATCAATAGAACTGGATCAAAAATGTAACCTTAAAATATGAATGGCAAGTAAAACTGACCACAGTGCTAAAAACAGTGCAACTCTATAGGTATTATATAAACCATAAATAGCTTTTAAAGGCATCATGGTGAAGGGTCTGTGTCTTTAAGATCACTTATAGTAACTTATGGAAGTGTGGCAGGACCAAGGAGGTTTGATGAGTTGAATGATAAGCAGAATTCCTGGGAATTAGAAGGGATTTAGCGGACAATAGCAGGTATTCCCACTAGTGTAACTAGACCCTAGTTGGCGTCATGAGAAGCTTAAACTTCACATTAAACCAGTGTGCAGCTGACACAAAAGGCCGCACTAGACACAACAAGGGGAATATGGAGCAACACGCAGACGCATTAAGCTTATATATACACACTGAGAACAAAACAAACGCACATGCTGAATGAAGCACAAGTTTATTTTGTTACCATTCAGACCGACACACAAACTCGCAAATCAATATTAGCGCTTAATGAAGTATACACTGTGCTCTCCATGTCGAAACAACACTTTCATCCTCAGTGCATAATACATTTCCCTTGATCTGAATCTTGGAATTTTTGCTGCAGTCTTCTCCACATTAGTGAGCTACGGAAATCCAAACAGGAAAAGGACTTAACTGCTAAAAATATCTCTAGGCGTAGCAATGAGACAGGTAGATCTGGGCTCTTATCCGAAACAAATCCTTCTAAATCTTTTAAATGGCACAACATCTCACCATGAAATTTTGATTTTCCTCAGACTTTTGGAGAAGAGTTCATGGGAACTTTTAAATCTGTAATTCCTCCACCTTTGAAAGGCAGAATCTGTAATGATAACACATTATTATAAGCCCAGGTCATATTTTAATAAATGAATGTAAACTGATTGTTTTAATGAATTGTTAAGTAAGTGAGGATAGGAGCAGGCTTCACTCAATGTATACACTAATACACTTTAAGAGTGCTGGCCTGGATGATTAGAATACGAAAAATAGGAGCGAGGCCGCACTATGCATATGTTATTTTTATTTTTATTTGCACAGACGCGATTAAAATTAAAATAAAAAGAACATATGCAAAGTGGGGCCTCTCTCCTATTTAATGAATGAAACATTTTTCAACAAAGTACATGCACACTACTGGTCAAATGTTTGGGGTTTGTAAGATTTTTTTTTTTCTTTTCTTTTTTTAAGAAGTCTCTTCTGCTCAGCAAGGCTGAATTTATTTGATCAAAAATACAGTAAAAACGTAATATTAGGAAATATTTAATATATTTTAAAATGTATTTTATTCTAGTGAAGTAGTCATTACACTAGTCAGTGTCACATGATCCTTCAGAAATCATTCTATGATTTGGTGCTCAAGTAATTTTTTTTTATTATCACAGTTAAAAACAGTGCTGCTTAATATTTTTGTGGAAACATTTTTCAGAATTCTTTAGTGAATAGAAATTTAAATTAAAAAAAGCATTTATTTGAAATTTAAATATTTTGTCACAATATAAAAGTCTGTCTCTTTTGCTCAATCCTTGCTGCATAAAATTATTTTCTTACTGACCCCTAACTTTTAAATGGTAGTGTAAGAAGCGTTTACATGATGCTACGGTGTTGTCAGTGGTTGCTAGTGTGAGAGGATTTTTTTTAGACCGTTGCTATGCAGTTGCTATATAATTGTGGGATGTCAGGGTGGTTGCTAGGGCGTGCTTAGTTGTCTAAATCAAAAAATGTAACTCTGTTTGACTCATATCCCTCCTTCAATTGTAAGTCTGAGATTTTTTTGTTTTGTTTTACAAAAAAAAATTTGGTCAATATTTTACAAATTAACATTAGTACTAAAACTAATACAAAAGCCGATGGTCACCTTGCTGTGTGGAAAATCCATCCCTGAGCTCACATGCTCTTTCATTTCTATATGCTCACCGGAGATCTCTGGCCCTCAGCCAAACTTCATCTCCCATCTGCCCAAACTCAGACACTCTCTGAGGCCTACAGCTCGCTCTGCTTCCTGTCCTGGGACTTAAGGAATGAGTGCTGGGACATGGGAAAGTCAGACACTGAGCTTTCATCAGATTCCCTGGCTTAAGATGGTTTTCTGTCTTCTGGAGTCTGTCGCATACACACAAGATGAGACACACGCTCAGGCTCATGGAAACGCATATGTGCATTCTAAGGCCAGAAACTCGAGTACGCAAACTGCAGTGCTTAGCTAATACATTTAGTGTGCATTACTATTGTACATACTTATTGTGAGCTTTTGCATTACTGTGATGGTAACAAACTTCAATATTCTGTCTTTGCTACTACACCTCAACAACTTGAGGGTGAGCAAATGATGACAGAATTTTAATTTTGGGGTGGAGTATCCCTTTAACAGGGAAAGAGAAAAATGTCCAAACCAGTGTTGTCATCAAATAAAATACAAAATGAATATTAGCCAAAGAAAATTTTGCAAGTTGCCATAACTGCTATAAGTTGAAGTAAAACTACTAATTTAAATAAAACTATTTACAAATGTTTTTACATAAAAAATGTGTTTAAAAAAATAAACTGAAAATATCAAATAAAGGCAAAAAAAATATATAATAAATATTATCAAAATAACACAGCTCCAATCAATTAAATCTGCAACAAAATAAACAATAAAAAAATTCACCAAGTTGCTCAGTAAAACTATTGCTCACCCTGGCTTTGACCCGAAAAAGAGAAAACTGAGCATAGATGACATTTA